ATCATCTGCCAAGAACGTATATGAACAGGTCCCAGTCCGAGAAAAGGATGGAAGGATCCTGTTCATATGGACCTGTCGTCAGACAGAACACTAAATAATAATAATAATAATAATAACCCTACGTTACAGCTCGTTAGAATACCAGCGCCACCTCCTCTGCTATAAAGCATCTCCAGTTCCTACTGTGACAGACGCCAGCACGACTTTCTTGAGATCTGGGGTTCTCACGGCGATGAAGAAGTCGATGAGGACCTTCTGGGGCCTTGTAGGTGATTACTACGAATCCTTCTCCGAAGCGTTGGTAACCACTTATTAAAACCACATGGTGTCACCACCGGAAGGCCACCATACAGATATGAGATCACAGCGAAGACTTTTACATGCAAAGGACAACCCATAAAACGAGGACACAAACTGATCACCGGAAAGGGATTTGAACCTGCGATCATAAAGTTGGAGCGACCCATAATCGTTTGCGCCACAGACACGCAGCAATCGATATCAGAATTACAAAACTAACACTTAAATATAATTAAATCCACAATGACAAGAACGGAATTCTTGCAATTAAACCATCTCAAATCCCTGTCAACGTAGTTCAAAGGTCTATTACCGCTACTAGTTCACCAAAGTTCGTCATTGTACCCGATCCAATGAGCACATTCTTCCTTGAGAAACTAACATTCGCAATATTGATCAAAAATTGTAAGTCTTTTATGGAACGCTGAATATTCGGTACCATGTTCACAAAAAGCCCCCTACCAGTCCCTGTCCTGAGCCAGATAAATCTGGTACATATCGTAACACTTTATTTCCTTGAAACATAATTAAATACTATACTTCCATCTACGTCTAGGTTGTTAAAGTGATCCCTTCCCTTTAAGTTTTCCAACCAAATCCATGAGAGCATTCCTATCTCTCCCATGCGTGCTACATACCTCACCCATATTATATTCCTTGATTTGATTTTATTAGTTTCATGGAGTATGAACTCACGCCTGTTCCGACTTATGTCCTCATTCCATCTTTCACAGGGTCTATCTCAGTCTCAGAGTATTTTGGTTCAAACTGTAGAACCTATTTCACTATCCGCTCATTTGTCATTCTATCCAAATGGTTTGTAGAAACTTCGTCTGTTTTCATTTTATGTTGTTTTGACTGCGCGGGTGGGCTGGTAACCCCTGCACTCACAAATCTGATTACTCGAATTCTTCACAATAATAAGCCAACTCGATTCCATGAGGAGTACAAATTATGAAGCTCCGAATAACATTTTTTTCTAGCCTTCTGTTACACTTCCTCTCTCATGTTTTCCTCGGCTCCTTTTTTTTCAAATAACCGCAATTTACTTTTATCCCTTAGATCGCCCGTACGTTTAAATAAACTACTATCAAACCGAAAGGATTCTAACCGGATCAAAGAACAGATCCTATCTTGTAAGATTTGAGGTTTTCACATCAGTGAGTACGAAGATTTCTGTCTTCTGGGTTGTAGCGCTGTGTAGTCTGGTAGATGTTAACCAACGTTTCAGAGGTCATACTGCCTCCGTCATCAGGGCGATGAGTATGAAGATTTCTGTCTTCTGGGTTGTTGCGCCGTGTAGTCTGGTCGATGTTAACCAACGTTTCAGAGGTCATACTGCCTCCGTCATCAGGGCGATGAGTATGAAGATTTCTGTCTTCTGGGTTGTTGC